TCTCCCAATCCTCTGGCGGTCCTAGCTTATGTTGTATCAAAGTAATATTGTATCATAGATATAAATATACACTCATCTTTTTTGTCCTATTTTTACAAGTTACTTTTAATATATTTTATTGAAATAAAAAAATTTAAAACTCATTAACTCTATCAAAACATTTAATAAATTTTTAACTTTATTCATATCAAATATACATGCATCCTTTAATAATATACTTTGTCTCATCAATATTTAATGGCGAGCGAACAAAATTATAATAAAAAATCAATGACATGATTTCCAAGCAAAACCAAAAAAGAAAAAGAAAAAGAAAAAGAAATTCTTTTAGTGGAGACACACAAATAGATAGCTTAAAACGATATGAAACAAGCAGGCACGTTCAGTACGCGGTTTAGGATAAAGAAATTTCAACATATGCGTTATTATGTTGTGGGCTGCATAAGTTGAAGGCTAAGATTGATGATTAACTTGCAAGATTTTACTTGTTCGGGCTGTTTGGCTCTTACTATTTATTCTCTGACTATATTCCATAAAAATGAAGTTGCGTTGAAGGAGTTGTTAGCATGTGGATTTTGAAGTTAAGTTTTGGTTTTATAGTTCAATTATGTATGACAGTCCAAATTGAATCGTTCATTAAGACAGAGACCGCCTTCATTTTACCTTCCTAGAATTTCTCATTTTTGACCTTTGCTTTCTCCTTCTTCTGTCCCATTTTGACCCTTCTCTTCAGTGACTTCATCGTCATTAAATTTGAATATTATATGAGTTCAAGTATTATTTATTCCAAATTTTCAAAATAATTTAACAAAAAATTATTAAAATTAATTTCAACTCTCTAGAAATGGTGATTGTTTACTAGTTGCTTGCATAATTTATACTTTTCACGGCAGAGAAGGGGAGACTAGCAAGAGCTTTTTGGAATTTCAATTTTTTAAGTATTATATAAATGTCATACATTTTTTTTTTTCCAAATTCATGCAAACTATGTTACACGTATGTTTTTCGGTCTTGGCTCCTTTCATGACTAAATCTTTAATTGTTCTACTTCTGGTTATCAAAATAGGACCACAAATAACCATGTTAATTCAATATTTTTACTATTTTTAAATCTATATATACTCCTTTTGTTCAAAAATATAAGACATTTTTAGTCTTTTAAAATGTAATCATTGCCTTTTTTTCAAAAGTATCCGTATTGATAATGACTTTATATTTATTATAGGGTATTTAATAGGGGTAAATATTAAAAGATAGAGTTAGTTAGAAAGTAAGTAATTACTTTATTGAAGGTGAGATTCAGTTAAAAATACTTTGCATTTTTGAATGAAATGAGTGTATATATATATATATATATATATCAGAATTAACAAAAATAAAAATTTCTCCCCTTGGTAATAAATGGTCGAAAAGATAAAAAAATATTAATATGATTCATATGAAAATAACAATACTTTAATAACAATCAAACTTTCTGGTGTTGATGGATCACAACTATATATGCACAGACACACAATAAATATATATATATATATATTCATTATAAAAAAATAACTTTTGACTATAATTTTTAGCGGTGATCAAAAAGTTAATGTCAAAGGTTGCTGCTAAAAATTAATTTTTGTGGCAACTTTTTAAAGTTGCTGCCAAAAATAACTTTTAGTCACAATATTTTGTAGCCGTAAAAATATTTTTATAAAAATATTTTAAAAATTTAAAATAATTTATATTATTACTTTTAGAAGAAAAATTTGTTGTCTCTAAAAGTATTTTTTAAAAAATTAAATATAATTTTAAAATATATGAAACAGTTTATAAAATTATTATTATAAAATATTTTTATTAATTATTTTAAAAATATAAAATTAAATAAGATTATTCAAAAGATATTTATGAAATTAATTTCTCATTTTATATATAGAATGAGAAATAAATAACATATAGGATCAAGAAGCAAAGCAAATAATAATGAAGATGTGTTAAGTTTAATTATTAAATTATTTTTTAATTTTGTTATGAAGAAAGGAGTTAATAATAAGATTTTTATAACACGTTATTATTAAAAATAATATAAAATTATTTAAATTTGCCTTATTGTTGTGAGGTAGAGAATGATTAGATGTTAGCTAGCTAGATCAATCATATTTAAGATCCTTATAATTATTTTACATTGTAAAAATTATTAGTATTCATTAAAAATTTAAAATTATTTAAAATGACTATTAACAAAATTTATATGGTTAAAATTAATTTTTATTAAAATATTTTTTAAAAAAAATGAAAAATTGTTGATAATTTTTTTTAATAAAAGAAGAGGAAACATTTAACTTGAGAGAAGATATAAATTTAATCATTTATTTAATAATTTTTGAGAAAAATATGGAGAAAATAAAAGTAAAAGATATTTAACATAAAATCATATGATACATATTTATAAATAAATGTAAACTTAATTATTTTCATTTACAAATAAAAAATAAAAAATGGGTTAAAATGTTTATAAGAAAATCATATAATATTTAAATTTTGTTTTATTTTAAGTTGATTTCCCTAATAAAAATAATATTTTCTAATAAGAAATAGTATTTATTAAAAAATATAATATATACAGTCATATAAATTATTTTACCATATTAATAATTAAAAATAAATAATATATATATATTTTAATAATATATTATTTGATATGTGTGTATGTAATTAAATAAATAATATTTAATTTTACATATAATAATTACAAGTATATTTCAATTCAATTGATAAAAAATGATAACTTAAAACTTCAAAAGTGGAGATTAAGGGTTTAAATTTTAGCTTTAACATATTCTATAATGAAAATGTGATGTGGCACATATTGACGACGTGGCATGAGAAAACACACATGTGGTAGGATAATGTGATATTAGATGACTCTTTTATTTTATTTTTTTGTAAAAAAACTTTTGTTACTATTAAAAATAAATTTTTAACAGAAAAAAACTTTTGATATTGACAAATGTTACCATTAAACGTATAATTTTATTGATAACTACGTTTATCATCGTTAAAAACTATTAATGATTAAACCTTTTTGTAGTAATTTTTTGACGGTGAAAAGTTTAGCTGCAAGTTTTGAAAGTCATTTTTTTATAATGTTAATCATGAGTAGTAATGATTAAATGATAGAAATTAAAACTCCACTGACGACCATTAGCAACGCAACAAGCAAAAAGATATGTGTCGTGTATTTTAATCATGTGTGTATGTGTTTTTTTTTTAACATTAATTACGTGTCATTAATATATGTCATTCTCAAAATATATAGAAGCATATATTCTCTCCATTAAAAATTATGAAGCATTTTAAACTAAATTACACCTCAATAAAGGAGTTAGATAATTTTTAAACTAACATTATCTTTTTTTTAATATTTATCTCTATTTAATAAAATATTTTATTTTAAAATAAATATAAAGAGATTTATTTATTAGGAACAATATTGATAAAACATATTAATTATACCTTAAAATACCAAAATGCTTTCCATCTTTGAATGGAGAGAGTATTAATTGAAACTTCTCATTTTTATCTTCATATTGTTTGATTATCTAATATCTAATAGTTTTAATATTTACGAATTACGATACATGAGATGATATTAATTAGATTCATTTATTTACATCCGAATTTTTATTTTTTATTTTTTATCCAGTTAAAGATTGCCTTCATTTCACAAGAGTAATTGATCTATATTACATAGTAAAAACTCATACCAATAACCAATAACCAATAACAATGCGTTGAATCTACGTTTAACAGTTATTTTTTGGGCGCTGCTTGTTTATTCAAAAGCGTTACCCAATCATTCGATTCTCCACATTAGACACGAGAAACATCATAAAGCTAAAAAAAAGGAGGGTGAAATAATTTCAAATGGTCGATTATTCAACCAAAACAGGTTGATGATATGCGTATTGCCATCATTTTGGCGTGGACAATATGCAAAAAATGATTAATTAAATACTTTCCATAATCTTGCATAGATTCAATGAACAATTAATTATTAATAATTCAGCCACCTTACTTAAAAACAACATCTAAACCAACAAACCCCGTTTAATATTAAAATTTAAAACCACGACAAATGAATGAGAATAAATCAGTGATCTCATTTCCAAATAGGCTACAGAGCTGGCCGGCTATTCTTGTTCTAAAAGCTCTAAACCATCCAACCAAATCAGAAAAATTAACATATAGAGTAAACCTTAATGAAATATAAACAAACATAATTTATATTCATGAATGTGCATGTAATAACTGCCTGTTAAATATTCAATACACTCCCTTCATTTAATTTTATAACATATGATATTTTTTTGATAAAATTACATTTATCAATGAAGTTCATTAAATACAGTTTACAATTTCAATTTTTTTATAAATTTTTAAAAATACCCTTTATTAATAAGAGAGGGGGAATGAAATTTATATAAAGAGTGAAATAATAAACCTTATTTTTCTTTCTCATATATTTTGTGATATCAAATAATCTATAAAAAAATATGTTATAAAATGGGACAGGGGTATTGAATAAACTCTAATCTAATTCTAGACTTAATGATTAATTCTTTTAAGATTTGATCTCCATTGGTGTACAGTTTAAATTGAAGATATATTATTCTACAATAAAAAAATAGAAGCTCTAACTAATTTAAAAAAGAAACAATTTTTATAATGAATAAATAATTTTTTAACTGTGCCCTGAGTATAAATAAAAAAATCCCATTAAAAAAATGTGATATATACTGTATATAAAACAGAAGGTCAAGGACTCAAGGTGTTCAATATTGTGTGCTAAGAAGATAAACTTGTGGGTTTGCGGTTTGCGCATAGCTTTCAAGGGTCTTCGTGTGGGTTTGAGTTGAAAGATATCGTCAATAGCTGTATTCCAATAAGGCAATAACCCTATCTATCACTCCACGTCATCTTCTTCCTATATTATACCCTCAATCCCTTCCCTTTTCTCTCACCTTCAATCCCACTCAGTCAGATACCAAACTTCATCACCTCTCTCTCTCTCTCTCTCTCTCTCTCTAGAAGATAATAATCCACCAAGAAAATGGAGGGTCTGATTCCATTTGTGTACAGAGCTTTTGTCCAGTACAAGAATGAAAAAGAAGGGCCCTTGGGGTCACTGTTCAGCGAGTCACCTTCTTATTCTTACATGAGACTTCCCGCCGGCGACTCAGGTAGGTTTCAACCCTCTGCTTCTGCTTTTCTCTCCGACTATGGCTTCACGTCTGCATCTTCGTCTTCTTCTAAGTCCGCTGCCTCTGCTGCTCAAGTCCTGACGTCTTCTGGGGTTCAGTCTCCACGACGTCGTTTGACTCCTCGTCGAGCTTCTGCAACAAAATCTGTAATGGATTCTGATGATTTATAACTGCATATAAAAAGGGACTTGGTCAAAGTGTTGTTCAAGATTGTCTTTGATTTCTGAAATCGTACGTCGATTCCCAAAAGGGGGGGTTCTTTCGATGTAAGAAGCATGTGTAAGATGTAAATATTATGGATTTATGGGGTCTGAATCATCTGGTGTTTAAGAAAAGTGTTTGCGTTTCCATGGCCGAAGGGTCTGTAAAAGTACAAAGTATGGGATTTTTGGCTTTAGTTAGTTAATAAACAAAATGTATTTGTTTTCATGGGCAAAGTGGGTATGAAAACCTATGACTTTATTGAATAATTTATATGAAAAGATTAATTTGTTTGTTGTTTAATTTACTTTATGTTCAGAGTTCAATTCTTCCTTTTTGATCAAAATTAATGCGTGTTCGGAATTTTTTATCACGTCTTCTGTTTTAATTTCGAGATCACAATTTATATCTCTACTTCTCTTGCCTCACATTCACTCATTTGGACAAAAAATATTTTTTATTGTTAGATTTTGAAGTGAATTTGAGGTAAGACAAAAATTGGAAAAAAAATTACAAGATTTTGTGCGAGTTTAAAGTGAGCAAAAATAGAAATTTGCAAGATAACTATAAAAGTATAATAAAAAATAAAACGAAAATATAAAATGATAAAACATAAAATTGAAAGGATAAGTTAACTCATTAGCCAAAAAAATTTTATGTCCAAAAAATATAAATTAATTTTTTAAACATTTGAAAGCATGGTCTGACTAGAGTGATATACAAAAAGTTTATCATTAATATATAAAAAAATTATATCATTGATATATATATAAAGTTTATCGTTAAAAATTTAGAAGAGGTTTATGATTAATATATAACGGTATATCATTAATAAATATAACAAACGGTTATAATACAAAATATAATAAATGTTAGATTATTTACTTAATTTAATTTTATAATATGAGTCTTATATGGAAAAATTTCAAATTGAAACTGACAAAACTAATCGTACAATACAATAATTTCTTTTTTTTTTTTCATAATAAAGAGTATAATTATGTAATGAGAGCTCTAGCGATCAAGAACAACTTAACATTTAGGCGTAACTAACGAATAAAGTGAACTCCTTATACTTAAAAAAAAAAAAGAATAAAGCTAAGGGAACTCAATCAATGCATATATATTTATACGTTAATTAGAAGCTAATAATCATAGATGAAGGCTGTGTTGTAAGCTTTGAATAGGATGATGCATGATTCAAGGTTTGTTGTGGGAGCTTCCAAAGAAATCTAGTCTTACAAGAAACCTCCATTTTTATATTCTTAAGATATTATATTGTAAGGGAGTAAAATTCAATGTAGAAAGAAATTAAAGGCCAGTATTTTCACTATTTGGTTTGGTGGAGTTGGAGAGGTCGGCTACCTTTAAATATATAATATTTGTTTGTTTCTCCAAATCCTTTAAATATATAATATTTGTTTGTTTCTCCAAATGATCCATTGGCTGACAACGTTCAACTTTCAACTTTATTTTATTCAAAAAATTATGTGTTTAATCATACCTTAACTAATGAAACATTCAAATGTCCGAAGAATTTACTCCTTATATATATATATATATATATATGATATTGTTATAATCTAAATTATTATAAATATAAATGTCAATATAATAAATTTCAAATGTTTACCAAAATAAAAGCTTCAAATGTAATATATATATATATATATATATAATAACTTCTTTTGAGAGTCATGTGGTCTTATATTTAATTAGAATAAACTCATTTTTTTGCATAAAATTTAAAAATCTTGACTATCTATATTTCATAAACAACGTGACGTTTTATAATTTGCTGATGAAACGCCACCCTTAGCTTTCTGGAAACAAATCACTCAAACAAACAGGAGTGAATAACCATTTGCACTTGCATAAAGGTTAGGTAACATTGTTCACACTGTTTCCTGTAATTCTATGGATATATTGATTGTTATTTGACATCTAGCCCAGTAGAATATAAAGTCTTTTTTAATATCTAAATTCAATTGCTAATATCCTTGCAATATGAATAATAATATTAAATAACTATGCAACGGTCGAGCCCATATGTGAAATTCGCATAAAATTTTTGAGATAATATATTTTGTTTTATATGATAATCTAACTAAATTCCTTAATTGTCTTCTTCCCTAAGCTCAATGCACAAGTTTGTCTCTCGGGGTTTCCAGATATTTTTGCTTCCAAGCCACATCACAACGTGTGGTAAAAGGAACCTTGCTTTATCTTGACCCTCAATATTAAGTTTACTTGCAGAATAAAATGAAGATTTTATGGTCTTGCATAACAAGAAAGGAAATGCGTGCTTTATAAAGATGGAAGAAAATAAAATTAAATAGTTCTATAGGTTCTTATGAAACTAAATAAATGAAGTGGACAACGCATAAAAATTATGATCTATATATGAAGAGTTAATATAACACAAAATTTGTAATTACTAAAGAACTCAACTATAATTTATAGCTTAATACTACGAATTCTGTTGAGAATCTGAGAGTTCAAATTGTGATAACTGATTTCTGGTAACTAGAAAGTAATTTGTGTATGGGTCGCTCACACATGCTGAAGCATACACATACTAATAATACAAATATTTTGACATGCATGATTAACAGATTCAGTGCAAATATACCCCGTTTTATTTCACAGTTTTCTTCATATTTTTTAAACGGAAAATGGCGAACTAATTAAACTGCATTTAATTTAATCTGAAGAATCACAATCTCTCAAGGGATGGAGCCGGAGACTTTCAAGACTGTTAATAAATGAGCCCAACGCACAGGCGGCCAAGTCCAGACAAATTGAGGCCCAAAAGCTTCTCAAATAAAGTAGCCCACCTAATGCAATTTGTATATTCTTTACAATTGTACATTTGTTCTTATTTGTAATGGCACATGGCACATTCTTGTACTTAGGGTTTTTTTTTTCCCTAATCCATATAAAGAGATAAAGGTTCTCGGGCCCCATATGCCACTTTTTGATATCACCTCTCTCGTCATTTTATTATCTTGGCATTAGAACTTACATAGGCATGCTGCCATAGTTGACTCCAGCTCTTAAAATATTCTAAAAACTCCTATAATTACTCAAAGCTAGCTAATTACCAAACCAAAGGGATTTATAGATAAAAAGTAGAGTCGGGAACAAGGATCGAATTTGGAGGTTCTATTTAAATAAGAGTTCAGGCTTTAAAAATTAATTTTTTTAAAGTAACTGAGTTTAAGGGCCTGATCTTAATAAGTTTTGTAAAAAAAAAAAAGCTCAAGCTCAAGCCCAAGCGGCCTTTTAAGCCCTGTTATTCTATTTTTTTTAAATTTTTTGTGAAATGCGCATTTGATTGGTTTGAAGAAGGGACCCTGTTGCTAAACCCTAATCACTCAACTTTCTAAAACTTGCGATCGCCTCTTGCTTCTCCTTGCTCGTCTCTCCCTTACCACCTCACACCCTCAACCACAGCCAGTCAACTACTCAACCTCATGCCTCTCGTTCTTCATCTCTCCCTAGCCATCTTGCATCTTATCTACATCTCGTATCTCGTTTCTTTAACGGACCAGATTTTGCTCTCCTTCTCAACTTTCACATCTATGAAAGTTGATTCTACTCTTACAAAGTTAAAAAAAAAATCTCTTTTAGTGACTTATGGGATTGGCTAAAGTGATGAAGCAATCTTGCTAGAACAAACTAGGGAGAGAAATCTGAGATCAATTGGAATTTTTATGGTGGGGTGGATTTTGATCTTAATATTAATTTTGTGGGTCTTGAAACTTAATCCTTCATGCATGTTGTCTTGCTTAAAATTCCAAGCTTACTTTTCAATTGCTTTACATTCTATTTTTAGATGATGATGAGGAGGATTTAGATTTATATTAATGAAGATTTCAATTTTCATCTTAAATTTAGACTTTTAAATCTTTACTGAATTTTATGTGAGATTTTAATTTATTTTATGTTGAATTTAGATTTTTAAATCTTTGTTAAATTAAAATGTTGGATTTTTTTTTCCTAAAAAAAGGGCTTATGGGCTTAGCCCTGAGCCCTGCTGGTAAGGATTGGGTTTTAAAATTAAGTCAAATTTTAAGTAATCGAACTTTAAGGCCTAAGCTCTTAAGGGTTAGGCTCGCTCGAATTCCCGTCTGTAATAAAAGGTACCCCAACCACATATGCTTGTTGAATGAAGCTATCTATAGACTAAAGCAAGAACCCAAGGCTTAGTTTGAGAGATTGAAAAATATACTGTTAAGCTAGAATCTTACCCATTCCAAGTATGACAACACCTTATTTTTCCTTAAATTGAAGAATAGTATAATCTTTTGCTCGATATATGTGGATGATATTATTATTACTGGGAATAATCCTCATATGCTTGTCGTGTTTGTTAAAGAGTTGAATGCATTATTTCCTCTTAAGGATGTAGGTCATTTATATCATTTTTGTAAATGATCCTAAGAGAGGGTGAATTAAGCTAATTAAAAATTAAAGTAAATTTGTAGAAATAACAAGGGAAATGTAGGAACAATATCACCAAACACAAAAGATAGGAGAGAAGAGCTTTGCATAGATAGTTTGTCCTAATTTGACTCCTATCACTTGAGTTTATATCTAGTTTTTATGAATCTCTTGAGATTTCTAACTATATCATTAAGATTAAACCAGGCTCTTAGTTACCTAAATATATTAACAAACTTCTTAACACGTCTAAATCTCTCTTCCTTACAAAGGTAATGCTAAAACTCCTTAAACTCTTTGAGCTTAAGATCCTTTGTTTTGATAAAGAAAAACAGGAATAAATAGAGTATGTTCAAGAGTGAACTACTATTATTATAAACTCTTTTTATGAGTGAATATGCAATCAATGTATCTCACAAACAATAAATATTTCTCAAAAGGTTGGTAAAAATGAATGCACAATAATGATAGAGTTTCATTCTTGTTGTCTCTTCTTCTCTATCTTCATTGTTCATAATGAACCCATTTATAGTTGAGAGTCATAATGATCTGTTAGACTCATTAATCTTCCTATTGGATGTCAGTTACTCACATCTTCTTCTTTTCTCTGAACTTTTCTGGATACATGAGAGTTTCTAAGTTTTCTGTGGTAGTTGAAGCAATGTAACAATACATTATGGTAGAGGTTTCTCTTGACGCAACGTAATGGCTATAAATATTAAATGCTCTAATATAAGTAGGTGAAGGTTTATACCAGTTTTGTAATTTAGCATGGGTGTTATGAATTAAGAAAGAGTCATAAAGAGTTTGATCAAGAATCATTGTGTTTAGATAGATTCTAAGAAGGTTATAGAGTG